GGAGTATCAACTGAGATTTCTGATACTGCAATCTACATTAAATTTGACAAAAATAAATCTGTCTGGGATGTTGGGATGAAGTCAGAAGATAAAGCCACTACTTTTCTGCAAGCCTGTACATTTAGGGCTTTAATGCAATACTGTGATCAAAGAGAAACAAATCAGACAAATGCCCTATAAATTCCTAAAGATTAAGAATAAGTTCATGTATATATACATTTATCTGACAGGGTGATGAAGCACTATATATATCAGTTTCTCAAGATGTTCCCAAATTCTTAAACTTCAATGCTATCGTCAGAACTGAACCATGATGGAAAATGGTCTATTTCAGTCTCAGGGAGAAAACAACAGAAAAACCTGGCTGTCCAACAGTTCATATCCAGCATACCCTTTGGAGGATATGTGCTCAATAACCTTTGCATCACCCTTGTCTGAGTCTTTTTGGTCATCTTCTTAACTTAATCTTCTAGATCCTATTATCTGTCCTCCATACCACAGTCAGGAGGACATACTTAGCATCTGCTTAAGCTGGCGATGGGCTAAATATGATAATTAGAAAGGAGAGTGCTCTTCCTTCTGATGGACTGGGGGTATCAAGCCTGGTCACAATTTGTGTTTTTGAAAGGACAAGAATTATTTGTGGTACTCAACTTGGAGGGCTAATTATGCTAGGAAGGGGGAAACTATTATTAAAAGAGAGAGTCATCTAATTGACATGTCTCTGTCTTTTGGGGGCGGCGGATGAAATAAGAAATGAAATGTATGCACAGTGTGGAAAAAAAGTCAAAAAGGAAATATGTTTTATTTCTTTGTAATATTAAAATGCTGCGATTGACATCTTTGGCTCATCCTCTGTTCAGATATCAGTCAGCATGCCAACGCCTTGAAACAAGAAACAGCTTCCTAAGATCTACAGAGATACTTGAAGAACACCTTAGCAAATGAGAGTTCAAAAGTGGCAGTCTAAAACCCAGAGCCTCAATCAGTGGCTGAGACCGGATGAGAAACACCCTCCTGGGCACACAGAAGAAGACAACCTGGAAGGCGCTGAACAGATTGCATTCTAGCGCCACAAGATGCAGAGCTAGCCTTAAGAAATGGGGCTACAAAGTGGAGTCCACGACATATGAGTGTGGAGAAGAGCAAACCACAGACCATCTACTACAATGCAACCTGAACCCTGCCACATGCACAATGGAGGACCTTCTCACACGACACCAGAGGCACCCCAAGTGGCCAATTTCTGTTCAAAGGACATTTAGTTTAATGCCAAGTTCTTTTTTAAAACTTTGTGTTTTTAAATGCATTTTAACTGTACTCTCAGTTTTATTATTATTATTATCATCATCATCCTCATCTTTATTTGTACCCCGCTAACATCTCCCGAAGGACTCAGTGCGGCTTACAAAGGCCAAGGCCCTCAATAAAACAATAGCATAACGAATACAACACTAAAACTCATAAAGCAAATCAATAAACATTAAAGCAGTAACAATAAAAACATTAAAATAATACATCATGACGCATTTAAAACTAGGGCCGGGCCTAATGTAATGACTAAAATTAAAAGTGCTGGACATGACAGGTGAAATGTAAGGATTTTAGGGTAGGTGCGATGTGCAGACAATCTTAAATCTCTAATAAAGTGCGTTTGGGACATGATGCTGGGAGTTTTCTTCTGACATGATAAATAAAATACTAAAACTAACAAGTTAATAGTTCATCCTAATAAATTATGAAATGGTGGCCAGATAGGCCTTCCAAGATCTCAAATTATAGTCTCTGAATTAGATCCTGGAAATAGATACAGCAAGATCTCCATATCCATGGGATATGGACCAGTGGTTTCTTTAACTACATCTGGCAAAATATGTCCTCCACTGTACTTGCTATTAATTTCTTTTTCAAGTAATATGAGCCGCTTTAATGTAATAAGGAAAAAAGAGACCCCCTTCTGGGAAAACAACATTTTTCCCCCTGATCTTTCCAAGTAGAGAAGGAAACAAAACATCATATGATGTAATGTGCCTTCATAGTGTATTGGTTTGCACTGGACTACGACTCTGCTCATCCATGGAACCACACTAGCTGAGACTCTTTCAGCCTCGGAGGAAGGTTCTCAGCAAATCTTGATTTAAACAATCCTATGCTATTCATATTTACTGTTTAATTCATGTTTACTGTTTTAAGAGTTTTTTGAAAAATAAAATAAACATTTTAATCTGAGAACAAAGAGAATATGCAAAATGACAATTTTAAAAACAATGAGTTCCAAACACACACACACATATCTAAACCCACAATTTTCTACACCAAAACCTTTTGATTGTAGATTTGTAATGCATTGTATGTGGGGATGGATGCTTTTGAAAACTTTTCAGAAACTTCAGTTAGTAAACAATGCAGTTGCTAGGTGACTAGCTGGGATCAGCTATAGACATCTCTCCACAGTTCTTAAAACAGGTTGTAACAACAGCTGATCTATTTTGGAACACAATACTAAGTGCTGATTGCTCAGGAGCTGACTACCTGAAGAATTACCTTCTATCATAAACATTTGCCCAAAGCTTGTGATCTTCATTACAGGCTTTTTTTCTGATTATCAACTTGAATTTTAGGTTAGGTGCAGGCATGTAGCCTTGGGGGGGGGGGGCCTTGGGGGGCTTCAGCCCCCCCCCCCCAATTCTCATGGTGGTCCGCAAGAAGGCCTTACTGGTACATTATTTAAACTGTTATGTTTATTCATATCATGATCTGATCACCATGCTCAATATATCCCATATGCATGGGGGTATTGGGGTAACGATACAAAAGGTTTGCTAGGGTAGACCCTCTTTCACTCAGACTCAGCCCCACCCCCGAATCAAACTCAGCTCCCCCCGAAACAAAATCCTGGCTACGGGCCTGGTTAGGTGGGTTCTGACCAGACAAGATGTTGTTGTATTTTTTAAAATCTTGGTGTTGTACTTTTGGGGAACAAAACCCTCCCTAGCCCAGTCCTGCTTGGAGTTGCTTTGCTTGCTTTTCACTTCTAAGAGGGCCTCGTCACACTAGATAAAAAATCCACTTAAAATCTGGTTTCTGGCCTTTGCAGAATTCTGGGGTTTGTAGTTTAGGGAGGAGCCTTTAACAGCATCACTAAACTACAAACCCCAGAATTCTGCAGGAGGCAGAAACCAGATTTAAAGTGGATTTTTTCCCTTGTGTGATGAAGTGGAAAGACCGCTGTATTTGTCCAAGCATTTACCATAGTACAGAATGGTTTTTACTACTGTTTTACAGTTCAGCTCTGCTGCTCCTCAGTACTTTTATTGTTCTGTTTTATTCTTTTAATTGCATTGTGTCCTGGGAGTGTATGCTGAAATACACTCCACTACTAATTGAATAAAACAGAGATGAGCATTTACCCACATTACGCATATTACCTAAAAATGTAGGGTTTCCCTTAAGCTCAATTCTGAAAGACATATTTTAAAGCATATTTCAACGTTTATTCACATGTTGAAAATATTTCATAGTCGGCAAAGCTGCCAGCCAATATCGCATGTAGTTCTCTGATTGTATCAGTAATCCAGGGATCTTTATCCCTTCTTGATATTAGTATTATTTCCACCACTTTATCTTTATGTAACAGCGTGCTTTCAATACATTTCCAACATACAGCAACCCTAAGGTGAACCTATCACGGGGCTTTCTGTGTGGGATTTCTTCAGAGGAGATTTGTCATTGACTTCCTTTTTGGCTGAGAGAGTTAACATGTCCAAGGTCAACCACTGGGTTTTCATGGTTCAGCAAGGCTTCAAACTCTGTATTGTCGAAGGCTTTCATGGCTGGAATCACTAGGTTCTTGTGGGTTTTTTCGGGCTATATGGCCATGTTCTAGAGGCATTCTCTCCTGACGTTAGGCATTTCTCCTCAGAGGATGCTTGCCATAGATGCAGGCGAAACGTCAGGAGAAATGCCTCTAGAACATGGCCATATAGCCCCAAAAAACGCACAAGAACCTAGCTTCAAACTCTGTTCTCCAGAGTCAGAGTCCAGCAGTGAAACCACTACACCATGCTGGCTATCCATTTATCCACAATTACATAAAGTAGGTATCCATTGTAAAATTCAGATGTTCAGAGACATAGTTCTCTGAAGTATTCCCGACTAAATGTCGAAGGAGTCATGAGTTGGCAATACATTTTTGCTAGTTCGCTTGCATATTTGGAGCACCAGAATTTTGCAGTTGTTTGAGGGTTGGATGAGGACTCCAGGAGCCCTGACATTGAAACTCACTTGTGACCTTGGAAAAGTCACACCTTTTCAGCCTTGGAGAAAGGCAAACTCTTCTGAATAATTCTAGACATAAATTTAGAAAAATATGGAGGAACATAACAAGAACAAATCTGCCTATTTTTAGCATCCTGAAAGAACACCACAAAAGCAAACAAACAAAAGATATCCACATTGTTTTTCCATACATCAAAACACAGATACTACCCTGTTAATCTAAGGCATTTTGTGTGTCAGAACTTGATTCGCTAACAAATGCCCTAATATAATTAAATGTCAAACTGCACTGAACATCACAGGGATATTTTTTAACACACAGCATCTTTCCCTCAGGAGCGTCTTTGCAATGCTTCTAAACTTCAAATATTTTGCAGATGGCAAAAAGATAATGAAATGTGACTCGCCCAAACTAATATATATGCAAAAGATAAACAATTAAGATCCAAAGACATTTAGTACTTAAATATTTACTTTATTTATTAATATTGTAACCAAATGAGAACAAAAAAATAGACTTCTGCCGACTACTAAACGTTATTTCAACAAAATTATCTTAAAAACTACTAGAAGTCAAAACCAGGAACATATTCTTGATCTGACCCTGTTGGTGCATATATATGATATTACCGAGAGAATTCGAGGTGCCTAAATACAAATGCACACATTACAGCTCAAGAAAAATAGATAAAAACAAAACAGAGAAATGATTAATTCCCTACCTTCTTGAGAGGAGACAATGGGTGGCAAGTAATCAGGGATATATTCTTTCCTCTCTTCTGCATCTTTGCTTCCAGGCTGGGGGAACTGCAAGACATTATTCTTGCTGACAGGAAACGAGGGGATTTGATGTGCAAAAGTAACAGGTTCAATATTGAGTATGTAATCTTCCAGTTCATGCAGGTTAACCCCCATAAGCTTGAAGGCTTCACCTACATCCTCCAAAATTGGATCTGTCCGGCCATCTGGAACAAAAATAAATATTAATAAGAAAAAA